CGGGCCCGGCCGCCCCCCAACCAAATGGCCGCTGTCCGCTGGGAAGGCGGGACAGGGAAGAAAGCTCAGCTGGACAACCCCGATGTCCGCTCCCTCTGGCTTCTACTCCACAGGCCGACTCCAAGACAGGACTTTGCTCTTCTTGTCCACTCGGCCTGCTCCGTGCGTGGACAGTCTTCCCTCCCGGTCCCCACGGCCTCCCTCCCAGCTAGAGGCGGCTCTGACTTCATCCTGAGGCACCAGCACCCCCAATCCTCCCACCCCCGTGGGCCAGGCCAGGGGTCCCCACGGGGCAGCCCCAGGAAGGGCCAGAGAGGAAGGGAGTGCTGGGAGGCGGCTCCACTGAGCTCTTACCAGTGTGTGTGCGGGTGTGTGTGCGGGTGTGTGTTGGAATTTGCACTCCCTGCACATGGGGTCTGAGCTGGGAAGGCAGAGGTGAGGATGTGCCTCACGCTGACTGACCTCTGCCGGGCACACACTCCCCGGTGTCTGACCCCTTCCAAACCACGTATGAGCTCTTGGAGTGACAAAGGCCTCTGTGACATTTTTCCAGGACCCCAGCCTCAAGCAGCCCAGGGTGTGGGGTGTGGCGGCTGCAGACATCCCTCTCCCTGAAAGGTTAAAGTTTGAGGCAGTGACCACCACGTGTTGCTAAGCAAAGCAACATGTGGTGGTAATCAAAACACCTGGTTGATTGTGTGCCTATATAAGACCTGCAAATCCTTAGCTCGGGGCTCTCCTCCTAGGCTCCGCTGTGTTGGAGTGTAGGACGGGGCCGGAGCTGCAGCCCGTTTAAATAAAACAGCTGTAGAGTCTGACTCTCGGTGGTCTTCTTGCAGAGGGGTCCTGTGACCTTGGCATAACATCCCCCCCACCCCCAGCCGCAATGCCTTCAGGTGGCCGTTGGTTCCCCTCTTCACAAGGTGGGGCCTCCTCTCCTGCCCACACCTCCGTGGGTCTCCCAATCACACCTGGACTTCCCCCATCAGGCCCAGCAGGGCTAGGGCACCATGCCTGTCTCCCCTTGGGCCCCAGGCTCAGAGGACTGGCTTGCACAGATCTGGGTCTGGGGCCACAGCTGGCAGGCGGGCTTGAAGAAGTTATTGTCAAATGGAAGGAGACCAGGCAAAGCTGAAAGCTCCTGTTGCCCCAGGGGTTGTGGCTGTTCCGTTGTTGATGGAGCCTTGAAGACTCACTCCAGCTGCCCCTGTCTACTAGGATGTCACCTTTGCTCTGCCTGTGTCCCATCCCATGGCAAGCTGGGCTGGTCAGACAGGACCACAGGCCCTGGGTAGGCAACCTGGGACCTGGGGCCCTTTGGCTCCCCCTGCTGACGCCTGAGAAGAAAGAAGGGAAGTAGAGGAAGTGAGTCCCTCCTTCCTTCCTTCCCTTTCCTTCCTCCCTCCCTTCCTTCCTTCCTTCCTTCCTTCCTCCTTTCCTTCCTCCCTTCCTCCCCTCACCTCTCCCTCCCTTCCTTCCTTCCTTTCTTTCTTCCTTCCTTCCTTCCTCCTTTCCTTCCTCCCTTCCTTCCCTCCCTCTCTGCTTTCCTTCCTTCCACCCTTCCTTCCTCCTTTCCTTCCTCCCTTCCTCCCCTCCCTCCCTCCCTCTCTCCCTCCCTTCCTTCCTAACTTCTTTCCTTCCTCCCTTCCTTCCTTCCTCCCTTCCCCTTTTCCTTCCTCCCTCCCTCCTTCCCTTCCTAACTTCCTTCCTATTTTCCTTCCTTCCTAACTTCCTCCTTCCTTCCCTCCTTCCCTTCCTTCTTTCCTTCCTCCCTTCCTCCTTTCCTTCCTCCCTTCCTCCTTTTCTTCCTTCTTTCCTTCCTTCCCTCCCTCCCTTCCTCCTCTCCTCTTCTTCTTTCCACATCCCCTGGCCCACACTATTGGCTTGGTTTCCCTCCCGTGTGACCTCTGCAGTCACCTTCTCTTGGTGTGACTCGGCTCTTGGAGTTGTGGGACAGTTACCCAGGCAGGCGTGGCATGGGGCTGCTCTGACCGGTCTCATCAGCAGAAGGGGATGATGCCACTGTCTTGGACTAAATGAGGTACCCGGAGCCCTCAGAACCATGCCTGCCTTGTAGAGGCCCCCAGCGGTGGGCATGAGGGTCATTGCTGCTATCTGGGCTCCACCAACAGAGGCCCGAGCAGTGGGCGGGAGCCATTCCCAGCTGCTCATGGACTCCTCACCTTTGAACACATTCCTCAGGCAGAAGTCGCCTGGGCACTAAGAGAACTCAGAGGCATAAAGTGTCATCCCGCAGGCGGAAGGCTCCCAGCTGATGCCCTTAGAGACTTTCGCCCCTCTCCACCCCTATGAAAAGTGAAATTTTCTACCACCCCCTGGTGGCTGCCTGCCTCTGTAGACCTTCCACAGCAGTCTTTATTGTTGTTATTATTATTATTAATTGCCCTGGGTTACCCAGACTCTTTTCTTGCTTGACTGACCAGTTGAGTCTCCACCAGCTCCTGATGAACAGTCTGCGACAGAACACCCGGGCTGTGGCCTGGCATGCACAGAGCTCTGGCCTGGTTGGAGCCACAGACCGAGCAAATGGTGGGACTTGAACCCAGATCTGAGTGGCCCATGAAGGAAGCGCTCCTGCAAGGGCTGCGGTGGACTGGAGTGCGGGTTCCCACGTGGAGCAGGGTCCTGCACTTTGCGGCCGTGCCAGTCCCCCTGGCTGGCTCAGGCCCCGGGCGCGCTTTGCGGGAGGGCCCTCTGCTCTCCTCTCCTAACCTCTGGTGCAGAGCCCCTGGCTGTTTGAGGGAGACCCAGCTCCTGTAGGGAGCACTATGGAATTGACTCATGCTGCAAAGTTAGTCCTCGGTCCTGTGGATGGAAACACTGCAAACCAATCCTACAGACGGCACCGCCCATGCTAGTCATTGGACAGGTAGGGAAACTGAGGCCCAGCTTCACAGACCAGCTGCCCCCCTCATAGACCATGCACCCCTCCAGGCAACTCAGACACCACTCCATGGACCTTAAGCTTCCCCCTCTGAGCTCCTCCAACCCCCTAATGCGACCCACTGATGTCCTCTGGCCACTGGGTCAGTGGAGCCACACAGCTGTGGCTAGAGCCGAACTCACCCCCGCCAGGGCCAAGCCCACTGGAGACCCTCCCAGGCAGGGCCATGGGCTCGCTGCCCTCAGCCCTCTGCTGGATACACTCCACACGTCTCTGCTCCATGCTGCCCCTGGCTTCATTCCATCCCCTGGGCCTGTCCCCAGAGCCCCGTCCTTGTGTGGAATCCCTGGGGGCACTGTGCCATCCTCCCTTAATGACTCTGGGAAACAGAATCATCCAGTCCCCTCCTCCCCTTGACCCCAGGCCCCAGGGGACCAGGGGACCACCCGGGCCACGCAGGGCACCCTGTGGCCCTTGACTAAGCCTCATCAGTGTCAGTGTCCCGGGGCTCCCAGAGGAGAGACTGTGACTTTGTGCCTGCACCCTGGGGGGGGGGGCTCTAGAGCTGGGAGGGAGAAGCAGGGCAGGAGAGAGGGGAGAGGGAGCAGGAGGGAGGGATGCTGTCACGTCCACCTGTTGATTGAGATGGGGTGGGGAATCTCTTGTTTATGCCCAGATTGGTCTTGAACCACAATCCACCTGATCCCATCCCCCACTTCCCCCCAAGTAATGAAATGAGCCACTGGTGCCAGCTAAACTGTCATTTTAAACATCTTCAAGCGTGTTTGGTCCTTTCAAAGGATAATTTTCTCTCTATCTTTTCAAATGGAAACTCTGTCCCTGTTAAACACTAACCCTTCATCACCTGGCCCCAGCCTCTAGAAGCCTGTGGACCTGGGACCTTCAGAGGTGGAACCACATAATGTTGCTCCTGTGTGTCCCACTTACCTTCCTTGGCATAGCATCTATGTTGTACTATGTATGGGGATTCCCTTTCAAGGCTGAATAATATTCCATTGTGTGGCCATACCACATTGCTTATCCATTCACCCTGGGATGGAGACTGGGTTGCTATGGCAATGCTGCTGTGAATCTTGGCGTGCAAGTATTAGTCTGTGCATTCAGTTCTTTGAGGTATGGATCTAGAGTGGAATTGGTGGGTCATATGCTAATTTCAGATTTAATTGTTTTTCTTTGGAGAAGCAGCCAATGTGTTTCCCACCGTGGCTGTGGAAGTCAGTAAGTTACAACGAACACATACACTTTTCAGGGACCTCAACATTTCTACTTGTCCTTAGCAGTCAGCTTTCCCTAACCTTCAACTCAGGCAGTTCCTGGGCCGGCTTTCTTGCCTAGGCGCTGATTCTACCATTCTTGGTTTATCTGAATGAATGACACACAATGGGCTTCCTTTTCCTGCCTGCTTTCTTTTGTTTAGCAGGCTTTTGAGTTTTATTCCCTCCATACATTTCCTCACCCATTCTTTCACATTTCATTCATAATCACCAGCGTGAAATCTTTCAGAATGTGATTTTAAAAAATCAGCTACCTTGCTGGGTGCCGGTGTAATCTTAGCTACTCAGGAGGCTGAAATCTGAGGATCAAGGTTCACAGCCAGTCCAGGCAGGAAAGTTTGTAAGACTGTTATCTCCAATTAACCACCAAAATACTGGAAGTAGAGCTGTGGCTCAAGTGGTTGAGTATTATTAGCCTTGAGCACAAAAGCTCAGGGACAGTGCCCAGACCCTGAGTTCAAGCCCTAGGACTGGTACAGAAAAAAAAGAGAGGCTGTGTTCTGAGGATGGAAGCAGGCACAAGTTACAAGAGCAACAGGAGCAAGATACAAGGAGGAGTTGTTTCTTGGGGTCCTTGGTTCCTTTGCTTCAGAGTCTATGGTAAGCAGAGCATGGAGGTAGTGGGAGTGCATGGTAGAGGCTGCTCACCTCATGGAGGACAGGAAGCCGAGAGAGAAAGAATGAGAGCAAGCCAGAGAATGAGAGAGAGAGAGAGTCAGTGAATGAGAGGCTTGGGACAAGATTCAGCCCAAGGGCCCCAGCTCTCGGGGACTATTTCCCACTGCTAGGCCTCACCTCCTAAAGTTTCCACGACCTTCCCAAATAGGACCATGGGCTGGAGACCAAGCCTTTCACACATGGGCCTGTGGGACCATTTCCTATTCAAACCGTGACACCCCTTGAATTTGGCCTAATGAACTGGGGACTGGGAACTCCTCCATCAGTGCCAAGCGAGAACCTATCGGAGCAGGCAAGGAAAACAGATGCAGAGGGTTGGAGAAAGGAAGCCCTCATACGCAGTTGTTCAGGAGGAAGAGAGTTTAACTGGAGAAACCAAACTGTCAGCAGGCACCAGATGGAGGTGCGCAACGCTGCGCAGATATGGGTGTGCAGAGAGCAAACTTATCGCAGAGAGAGCAAACTTACAGCAGAGAGAGTGAACTTTCGGCAGAGAGAGCGATGATGTAGGGGAGGGTGGTGAGGAGGTGTGACCATAGTGTGTGAGGAGGTGAGCTCAGAGCCGGGGGGCTGCACACTGACCCCGCTGTGCCTGGTACTTGGGCTACAGGTGCTGGCTGGGGACATCTAGGGAGGGCAACAGGCACCAAGACAGAACAAAGGGAAGGGGCCATTTTCCCCCTGGGTGGACCTAACAATTTCATTTCTCTTTTTTTTTTCTGGTCCTAGGGTTTGAACTCAGAGCCTGGGCACTGTTGTTGAGCAAGCCACAGCTCCACTTTTGGCTTTGGGGTGGTTCATTGGAGATACAAATCTCAGGGACTTTCCTGCCATGCTGGCTTTGAACTGAAATCCTCAGATCTCAGCCTCCTGAGCAGCTAGGGTTACAGGCGTGAGCTCCCAGCTCCCAGCTACCCTTCTTACATTTCTGCCCATTCTCGGCAGTCTCACCTCAGCTTGCCATTTCGGAAAGAATACACCAGCCTTTGTCTGGCCTTGCCTAGTTCAGCTTCAAAGCTGTCTTCAGCCAGGAGGAGAAGGAGGAGGCGGGGGGGGGGGGGAGAAGGAGGAGAGAGGAGGAGGAGGGAGCCAGAGGAGGGGGGGGGAGAAGGAGGAGAGAGGAGGAGGAGGGAGCCAGAGGAGGGGAGGAGGAGAGAGGAGGAGGTGGAGGGAGGAGGAGGAGAGGAGGAGGAGACAGTTGTGGCTCTTGTCCCCAACACCCCTAACTGAGCAATGCGGAAGTGGCGTCCAGCCCAGAGGCTTGGACAGCTCTACACTCCATGGCAGGGCTGGCGTTGGTGACTCAGTTGGGACAGGAATGGGGACAGCGGCTTTGGCGTTCATGGGGGCCCCTCGACCCCTGCCTTGTTCCTCAGCTGTACTGAAAGTCTCTCACAAATCATCACAAGGCCTGATGTTGGACCTGAGCCCATGCGACCCCTTACCTGGCTGTGTGTCTTCAGGGGCATTACTCAGCCTCTCTGAACTTCAGCTTCTGCCTATGCAACATGAGAATAAGATGCAGCCTCAGGGTGGGAGAAATGAGATAAAGTTCCCGGCACGGCGAGCAGCGCAGGGCTGGCACTCACTAGATGCCGATACAGACTTTAGACAGGCTAAAGCAAGCACCAAAATCCACGTGCAGAGCAGAGAACAAGTTGGGGTGTGGCACTTGGAGGTGGTTAGTGCTGGCTGGGGGTCACAGAGCTCTGTACCTAACAGGAGGGGACCCCCCCACTGGAGAAAGCAAAGTCCAGGGCTGGGGGGGCGGGGCGTGACTGTGACTCTGATGGTAGAGCGTCTGTGGAGTGATTGCAAGGCCCCGAGCTCAGTTCCAGTTAGAAAACAAACTAAAGCTGGGCACAGCGGCTCATGCCTGCAATCCTAGCTCCTTGGGAGGCAGAGACAGGGATTGGAGTCAAGGCCAGCTCAGGCAAAAGCAGCTTAGGAGACTCCATCCCAGCTGATGTCTGGGTGTGGTGGGGGAGAGGGCGCAGCCCCGGCTTGGCCCCTGCTTGGATGACAAAAACCAATGCAAGAAGGGGCTGAAGGTGCGGCTCAAGGACACCCCGGGCTCCAGGCTCAGTGCACCTCCCCCGGGGCAATCCTGGCCCCTTGCCAGCCACTCCAGCCCTGCAGGCGGCCGGAGGCAGGGGAGGCTAAGGGGAGGCGGCCCGAAGGGACGTGGAGGGCACCTCCCAGGCCAGCAGGTGCTGCTCAGAAGGGGAAATGGTCGGCGGAGTCTGGGAGAGCTTCCTGGAGGGGGTGACAAGGCCTTGCGCCATGGGGATGGGGGGGTGGAAGGCGGCGCCCGAAGGCAAGTGGATGGGAAGGGGAGACTGGGCCCCACGGCTCTTAGCCCTCCCTGACAACGTCAAGGGAAGAAAGGCTGGCGAAGGCTCACGGGTCTGCCTGGGGCTCTGGGCTGCCGTGAGGCCTGGGGTGTGGCAGAGGAGCTGTCACCCCATGGTGGCCGGAGAGGACAGAAGAAGGGGCTGGGGACAAGAGCCAGCCTTCAAGGGCAGCCCCCCCCCGCAACGTGTCTCCTCCTTCAGGCTCCATGGCCTACCTCCACACCCCGGCCTCCATGCCCCGACCTCCACGCCACCACTGGTGCATCCAACGTGGATCTGCCCAGACATCGCTGAGCCATGGGCTCCCAAGGCTCCTCCAGAGCTTCTGGTCCACAGAGCCCGAACGAAGATGGTGACCATTAGCAACCCCCCGAGCTTCAGTCCGGGTGACCCAGGGTCGGAGCCACAGCCACTCAGCCCCCATTTAGCAAACATTTCCTCAGCCAGGCTCTCTCCAGTCCGCCCTCGTTTTCAGCCACGGGGATCCAAGTCTAGGGCTCCGCACTGTTGACCCCGCACAGGCTCAGCACCCTTCCACAGGGGCGGGCTGCTCCCAGCCTCCTTCCACTCCCCATGCTCCCGAGCCGTAAAGGGGTGGATCTTCCCATTGTACGGGTGGGGAAACTGAGGCTCAGGGACACGACGGAACTTGTCGGGGGTGTTCTCGAGTGAAACTAGCAGGAAGGTGGGTACCTAGAAGGTAAAGGAAGGGGATGGGACAGTCTTCTCCCCCCCTACAGCCGCTCTCCCCCCCATTGCAAGAAGGCACGGGTGGGGGCAGGGGGGAAGGGAGGGCTGGAGGGGAGGGGCTGGCAGCACCTCTAAGCTTCCAGGTGGCCACATGGAGGACTTCCCGGCTGTGACGTCACCGGCCAGCGTCCACCGAAGGGGTCAGTAAGGGCGTAGGGGACAGGCAGCTTAGCTTCTCCCCACCCAAGGGGGTCAACTGAGCCAG